TTTTTCGGTTCACATAGCTAAGCTTTTTGGTTTGGTATCTGGGGATCTAGTGACACGAGACTAGCTTAGACACGGATGGCACCCTCAACGGCCTTGCGCTTCTTCTCCTGGCGGGCGACAGCCTTGGCGCCCATGATACCACCACCCCAGTGGCGGCGGGACTCCTCGTACTTGTCGGTGTAACCCTCCTTGATGGCGGAGAGGAGCTTGGAGAACTCGGTGTTGTCCTCGGAGCGGACCTCGGTGAGAGCGAGGACGGCAGCGGTCTGGAGGGGAACTGTTAGTGTCTTCAAGGGATATGTAGGGGTTTGGAGCAGAGCAGTAGGGAGACATACCTTCTTGTGGACGACAGTACCGAGACGGGCCTTGCCCTTGACGATGGCGTAAGGGACACCCATCTTGCGGCAGAGGGCGGGCAGGAAGACGACCAGCTCGATGGGGTCGACATCGTGGGCGATGAGGACGAGGGAAGCCTTCTTGTTCTCAACGAGGCCGACAACGTGGTTGAGACCGTACTTGACGTTGTAGGGCTTCTTGGAGACATCCTCCTTCTTCTTGCCCTCAGCGACGGCGGTGGCCTCGACGTGGAGACGCTCCTTCTTCTCGGCCTTGGTCTCGGGGCGGTACTTGTTGAGGAGCTTGAAGGTCTGGGCGGCGGTGTTGCGGTCCAGGGTGCTCTGGAACTGAGCGATGGAAGGGGGGACCTTGAGGCGGAGGTTCAAGATCTTCTTCTGGCGCTGGAGGCGGACATACTCGGGCCACTTGACGAAGCGGCTCAGGTTGCGCTTGGGCTGGATGTCCTGGCCAATGCCGAAGTTGCGGGAACGCTTCTCGATGAGAGGGTTCTGGGTGGGGATTCGTTAGCAATTACATAAGAGGTCGTCTTTCGACAATCTGGGCCTTGACAAGCTCAAGATCTGAAGGGCGTGTGCTCACCTTAGCGGTCTTCTTGGAACCAGCCTTACCCTGGGGGTAAGGGAGGGAGGCAACCTTCTTTCCGGACTTAGGGGGCTATCATTGAGAAAAAAGAAGAAATCAGCATCGTGTGCTCCACCATGTTGTATTTTTTTTCTTGTGCTGAAACTCTTCTTTAAACTCTAGAGAGATCGCAAAGTTGCAGCCGAAACTTGGATTCGCTCCTATTCCTGTGCGCATGAACTGTATCCCAAGCTCATATCACATTGGGAAAAGGAACAAAAAGAATCCGGCTACAACCTTGCGACTCCAGCCAAATCATCACTGATTCCGTTTCACTTGAGAGGGCCCAGTGAAGGGTTCCCAATATCCACGAAATGCAGCGGAAAACATTGCTATCTCAAGATAGAGGTGCGCGAGATGCAAGTTACCGACTTCCCACAGTTATGGTCTTTCACACAACATGTCGGTCGTCGGCAGTTGTTTGTCGATGACAAGGGTGTGTTCTCTCTCTCTCTCTCTAGAGGATAGAGGAATTTTGTTGCTTCATTGGGATGTAGAAATCTTAAATGCTTACCACCATTGTTGTCGACTGAGATCCGCAGCGGCGTTGAGTGACGGGATTGACGATCGAGAGAAAAGAAGAAACGAAGGGAAGCAATTTGATTTTCGCGGAGAAAAAGCCGCCTGCCGCTTCTGTGGGCCGCCTTCGGAACAACTGCCTTGCCGGCGTTCCAGATTCCTTTAGATCACGTGCAATAGGGCTCAACCCCCTGGCAGAATAGCGGGCGGTGTACTATACTTAACCATATTCCAGCCTGCATATCCTTAATTCAGTAGCTATTTTGAAGTTGTAGCTAGTGTGACTTCGTTGTAGATTGTCTGTCGAGTTACTGGTTGCCTCTAATCAAAATTAAAAGCCAGGTCTAGTCAAATCACATTACCCCAACGCCATCAACAGAACAACCCTGTATGCGCATACAAAATAACCAAACCGTATACAGCCAAAGAAAATCATTACACATTAGAGTCTCATCTCATCCCTACTTGCGGTATCAGATATCGCTTGATGCATAGCACTTCCTCCCCTTTCCCCCGGTCTATCACCGTATAGACTAACTAGATTCTACCGCCACCCACCCAGCCCAGGCAACCCACCCCTCCCGAGCCCCGAACTGGCGGCTTGAATCGCCCGCTTCTTTCCCAGCTGGCCCTCCTGGCTCTTCACGCCAGCCACGATCTTCTCGATGTTGGTCTCGACGACCACGCCGCCGACAATCATCTCCCCCAGCACCGCGTGCATGGTCTCGTACCCGAAGATGAGGTCCAGCTCGCAGACGTTCTCGAACATGCGGTCCAGGGCCTCGACGAAGACCTGGATCAGATCGATCAGCGCCAGGGGCGATTCGGTCGAGGTCGAGATCATGATGAAGGAGAGGGTGGCGTAGGTGCGGTAGGTGATCTGGGTGGGCGCGTCCGAGGGCCCGTTGGCGGCACTGGCGCTGGCCCCGCGCGAGAGCAGCGGCGGGAGGGGCAGGAAGTTGCAGGCGCTTGGGGGGCGCTGGGAGACCAGGTTGTAGATCTGGGTGATGAGGGTCTGTTTGGTTTGGGTGTCCTGGTGTGTGCGAGAGAGGGTTAGCAATGACAAGGCTGGATGGGGGGAAATAGGGGGTTCAGGTGAGCAAGAGATAAGAGGGGATGCGGGCAAGGCCTGTAGAGAGAACATCTCACAATTTGAGTATAGAACTTGGTCAGACGGGGTTGACCGTTGTTGTTGAACACCAGGACGGCGTTGATCATCTTGGAGGCCTGGCTCTTGTCTGTCTTCTGGAATATGGACGCGTTGCGAAGGGATTGAAAGAGAGAAAGATAATATGTGGTGAGTTAAGTGCTCCAAGTGAACCAGCTCAGGAAGAGTACCTGCAGTAGTCCGAGTCGGTCTGTATTGTGCGTATCTCCGAAGCTCTCCGATTTCCCCTCGCGCGGGCGTGACGCATCTTCTTATCGATTAGGCGGTGGAGTCAATCGGACCGACCTAGAATGTCACCGCCCGGCAGATTTTCTGATTCCGTGCGCCGCGGAGGAAAGCTTGTCTCCAAAAAACTACCAGACCATCATCACCTCAACAACCTTGTTCTGAGTGGGGGGACTCGCCAAATTCTCAACATGGTTATCCAACTATACACTCTCAGATCTTCGATCCGGCCGTTACAGGCACAAGTCCATCGATATTTCTCCTCCGCAGTAACGGCGAGGAACTCCTCGCCTACCGAGCCCCCGCTGGAAGAAGACTTCTCCAGCCCTGCAGAGGCGGTCGACCCTCAACACCCTACCTCGAATCCGCCTCTCTCTGACCTACCAGCACACCCTACCCCGAAGACGCCCCTCTCCGACCTGCCAGCAACCATCCTCAACGACTACTATGAGACCGAGTGCCCCAATGACGCCCAGCTCGCCTACGCGGACAAGTTCTTCGCCCCCTCGCGCCACTCCCCTGTCAAGCTCTGGTCGGCCAGCAAGTTCCTGACGACGCCCATGTCCGCCCACGAGCCCGAGGTCTGCTTCCTCGGCCGCTCCAACGTCGGCAAGAGCTCCCTCCTGAACCGCATCATGACGGGCAAGCTCTGCTACACCTCGACGAAACCCGGCCGGACGCGGGAGATGAACGCCTTCGGCATCGGCGGCACCAAAGGCGGCGAGTCGAAAATCGTGCTGCTGGATATGCCGGGCTACGGCTATGGCGGTCGGTATAATTGGGGTAAAGAAATCATGAAGTACCTGCAGAAGAGGAAGCAGTACGTTTTGGTCTCGAGCAGCAATCCCCCACGCAAACCCCACCTTTTAACTTGATAGTTACACACAATTAGACTCCGCCGCATCTTCCTCCTCATCGACGGCTTCCACGGCATGAAGCCCATGGACCGCGTCATGATCCGCTCGCTCAGCGAATACGGCCTCCCCTACCAGATCGTCGTCCCCAAGATCGACAAGGTCCTCGTCAAGCAGCGCAGCCAGCTCCGCTCCGGCATCTCGGAGTCCTCCCTCGCCTTGTGTCGCGACCTGCACCGCGAGTTCCGGGAGTCGGCCGCCGACATCGCCCGGGAATGGAACGGTCCCCCGCCCCTCGGGGAGACCCTGACCGCCTGTGCGCACCTCGAGCGCACCCCCGGCAATTACATCGGCATCTCCGCCCTGCGCTGGGCCATCTTGAAGGCGGCCGGGTATGATGCGAATCTGGACGCGGAGGGGAATGTGATTAAGCAAGAGAAGGCGGCGGTGACGCAGGTACAGAACGAGGAGGGCGAAGAGAAGAAGAACACCAAGACGAAGGCCGGTAAACTTCCGGTAACGAAGGTGTTCAGTGGGCCAATCACTTTTTCATCCCACGTGTCGCCCAAACGACGATGAAACAGAGATGGAGAGAGAGAGACTCCTTCACGGGGACCCCCCAGAAATCGAATTCACCATGGTACCACCCATACAACGAGAGCGGAAGGGAATCAGGACACAATTTGGACGTGCCTTGAATTGATTTTCACTAAGACGGGGGGGCCATGTTCACCCCTCCGCTCCCCCAAGGCGGGAGGCATAAATATTGCCATGTTTTCTGTCACATTTGGAGCAAAGGCTATGCGCCTCGCATCATGTTCGATGCTACCGGTGCCCATTTGTGAAGGTCATCTGGTTTGATCTTGCTATCGACATGCATAGCTTGCGGATTGATGCGCGAGTCCGCGTGCGACTCTCAAACCTCTCAGGCTATGCTAGGATCCACGGTCTCTGTTAACGCTCGCTTGACGTCGTCAGTTTGATCGACGAGCGCATTGTAGTATTACGTGTAAATAAGTAATTTTTCAACAAGACATATTTATTCATTACAAGCACTAGTCAGGGCCACTTCAAAGACATTTTTTCATTGACTTCTATGGCAAGTGAGTATTGAAACAGCTGCAATGTGTGCAAAAATGTTTAAGCATGAACAGAGGCCGAGACCTTGAAGGCCTGGGGCTTGAGATAATGTTAAATGCATATGGACACAGAATATGCGAGACATGGCGCAAATCAAGACGGAAAGAACGTTGACCCTGGGGTCAACAGGATGTTTTGAATGCCACAACGCCGACCCATCATTATGCCGCACATCAAAATATGCTAACCACGCTATGCAAGTCTCATGATAGGAATAGAAAATCCATGGAGGGGTATCGTAATTATTTCATGGCTGGATCTGTTGAGTTTAAACGAGGGAATGAAGTGGCCGTGCCGTTGCCTAGATGTCGATTGACTGTCCTCAACCGTCTCTGTGGGGGAAAAAGCCGGACAACAAGTAGCAGGGTCGGATCTAAGCATCCGACACATCGTAATCTTCGTCAGTGTCGCTGACCTCGTTGCCCCAGCGATTGACAAGAATACGTCTGCCTAGCTGCTCACTGGGCACACCGTCGCGCGAAGCGCCAAAATCGAGAACCTGGAAATGGTCAGCAAAAAACTCTTGTATATAGCAAACACAATACTCACTTCGATGTAAGTCACTTCACGACGTTGCACTGCAGCAACGCAGCGACGATCGTTGAACTTGACCTGCCAAACTCCGCCCAGATCGGTGAGAAGGTCTCGAACACACTCTCCAGTGCGAACATCCCACATCTTCAAAGTTCGATCGGAGCCGGAGATGACCTTCTGTTCGTCATGCTGGAAGCATGTGATCGCCCCCGTATGGGCGCTCAGCAAGTTCTTGCATTGACCGGTCTCCGGGTCCCAGATCCGCAGAGTACAATCTGCAGCTGCTGAAACCAGACGTTCATATTTCAAGTCGAGCAGTCCAACGAGAGAGGTATGACCTTCCAGGTTGAACAAGAGTGACCCTGTCTCCAGAGACCAGACTTTGATCATGACGTCCATGGCTCCACTGATACAGCGATTACGTTTATGGTCCAAGACCACGCTATACACCTTTTGTGTGTGACCTTGAAGTCTGTGGACAACTTCTCCCGTTGACGTCTTCCATACCCGGACTGTGAAGTCATAACTCCCGCTCACCAACGTGTCACCATGTGCTGCAATCGCTCGGACCGAGTGCTGATGACCTGTAAGAACACGAACAAAATACGGGCAATCAGTGTCGTCCGAGTGAGGTCCACTAGGATGATACTCAGGGTCATCAGGCTTCGGAAGTTTCCAGACCCGCAGATTGGAATCACGAGAACCTGTGATGATTAATGGCTCTTTAGGCATCATCTCAGCAGAGCCATCGGCCTTTTTCCCCACTTCCGTTGGTAGGACAATTTGCAGGCAGCGTACAGTTGAGGTGTGCCCGTGGAAGACCTGGGTACACTTCGCTTTTTCTATGTCCCAAACTCTGACTGATCGATCGGTAGATCCAGAAACCAGAGTATTGCCGTAGTACTCGAGAGCCCAAACGCCACCCTCATGGCCTTCCAGGGTTGCTCTGAGAACACCAGTATTTGTGTCGAAAACATTGATATTTGTGTCATCACTTCCGGTCACAATCTTATCCGTGTCAAACTGCAAGCAAGTGACCACGTGATTACCGTGTGCCCCAAATGCAATATGTCTTGGTTTGACATCCGGTTTCATCCAAGCTTTGTGGATGGCATAATGACGCTGATATAGCGATTTGTAGAGATGAAGTCCTCGTAGGGTTGGCAGGCCTATCTCTGGGTATGGGATAGCGGCAGCGGCGGCATTCGCGGCAGCGTAAGGTCCTTCCGAGTTAGACACCTCTGTTCTCCAATCTGCGGATTCGGAATGATCAGTTCCGCTTGAAGAAATCTTCCTCTTTGTTAATTTCCGGCTTGAGACACGCGTGACGGCTTTCCTCTTCGGTCGACGACTAAAAGACAATGCCATGTCACTTGACTCCGCAAGAGATACCGCAGTCTTGTTGTGGCCGGACTCCTCATCAGACTGAAAGGATGGCAATGTACCCAAGTCTTTTTCATGGTCCTCGCTGCCGCTCGGGAACTGCCAGCCCCATCCTTCTCTAATTGCACGTTCCAGCTCTCCATCGGGAAGTTTAAAGCCATCTCGATCAAAGAGCTCTTTCCACGACTTCTCGTCAGAGTTGATGATATGTCGCCATCGTTTGGACACCTGCGCAGCTCGACACATGGTCTGAACATCGAAATATTTGACAATGTTGAGACTTAGCTCGGTCGGAAGAGCAGACAAGAAATCACACTTCAGGGCCGGATTTACAACGTCTGCAACAAACTGCAAGGTCGATTTGGGACAACGTTTGAGCAGCTGATGCATGACATACGGTTTCATCGGATCGGGAATCGTGTCGAAAAATTCCAGGACTGCGGGAATCTCCATTAGCGAAGCAGACCGCTGCGTCACAGACGTCGAGGAGCTGCCGCCAGCTTGCTCAACGAACGTTGCCTTCGCTTGCACATTCCGCAAAGAACCTACCGCCTTGGTGTCATTATTGTCATAACTCGAATCCGTGTCAGCTTCTGGGTCTTCGGCAGAGTCAAACGAGGAATCAACGTTCATTGCGTTCATCGCAGCGACTGGGGACAGACTTGGGCTAGGCAAGCACATATCTTGTGCCACCACATTATCGATAAATGCCCGCTGTGACGCTGATTCGCTTGGTGGATGCTGAGAATCGTCGTCCGGAGCACCATATCCAGAATCCTGACTTGCAGACGCCCCTAAGTGAGGTCGACTGAGGCTTGATTCCGTGTCACTCCGAGCTAACGGCCTGCTTCGGTCTGAGACGACGGTTTTGGTGCGGAACGGTTCTCTCCAGGTGTTGTTTCCTGAAAAAGTGCCCTGCGACTCAATCTCCGAGGACAACGGGGATCGTAGCAATGTCTCTCGGCGAGGATTACTCAGACTGTAGACCCTCCGTCTGGGAATGACACCCTCCCCCGCACTGTTATTGCTTTCCGTCTCCGGAGTGGCGAGGCCAGCCGTCATAGATTGTGCTTGCGTGGGGTCTTGAGAACGAAACGAACGAGCTGAAGGCTCGGACGGAACTCTTTGGGAAGACGCATGAGTAATACGGTGACTATTCTCGATAGCGCGACGCTTAGATATGGAGAGGTTGTTCAGGGGCTGAGAACGTCGGGCCAGTTGGGCATCATCTGAGGTAAATGAGGTCACGGATCGTACCATACCGTTTGAAGCGTTCAGAGCAACCGCCTTTTCGTTCAGCTACATGATTTATATCAGTATAATCATGATAAAATCAAGACAAGCGAATCACAAGGCGGAGATCAGACAAACATACCTCCTTCAGCTTGGCTGCCGTGTCTTCGGGCTCGTGAAAGATAACCTGTTTCCCACCAAGTTCGAACTTAATGTTTCTCAATGATGGAGGAGTAGGAGATGATGCTAAAGGATATAGTTTCGGGTCGAGATTCCGCATTGCGTGAGGCGGCCTTATGGACATGGGTGGAAAAGTGGTGGTCGTAGTGGTGGTGGTCGTCACAACCGTGGTTTGAGTGGCAGGAGCAAACGAGAATTGTCCTACGGCTGCTTTGGGAGAGCCAGGGTCAAGACCATGACCATTTTCGCGGTCCTCCATGGCGTGTTCCCAGAGTCCGGTGCTGTTGTAGGGACGGGGTTGCAGTGTTAAGCACGGTTTGAGAGTCTGTCGCGCTAAGATAGCGTGGTCAAGGCGGGCTCAGGTTCGAGAGTGTGATGAAGTATGAGGCACCATCGAAGATGATCTCAGATACTTTGCGAAGCTAGTGCGGGTGAACAGGATTCTTTTTATAATGGGGCGAGGAATCGTAGTTTTGTGCGCGAGAAAGTCGGCTAGACTCTTGTCGAAGCAAAGTCGGTGTTAAAGAGGGTCGCCAACACGATACACGCCCGTCAAAACCATTTGAGTGCCCAAGAGGATTGGGAAAGAGTCGTTAGAACATATCCGTGCCAAGCAAGGTCGACTGGAGAGAAAAGAGGAACAGAAGTGGTCAGAGGTGTAAGTAAAAGGAGTGGGTTGGATAAGGTTGGAGAAGCTGTGGTGTGCTTTGCTGACAAGGAGGTTGTTGTGCGGAGAGTAAGTAAGTTGGGATGAGGGAGGGAGGGAATTAGAGGAGAGGGAGGAGACAGGCTGGGCTGGAGCAGTGGAGTGGAGGAGAGAGAGGGAGGGAGAGGGAGTTGGAGGTGGTTGGCGGGCGAGTACCAGGTAAACTAACTTACTGGTGGTTTGGGTCGGTGCCTTCTTTTCTGGTTGGAAGTTTACTTAGTCAGTCTCACAGTCTCAAGTAACTAAACTTAACTAACTTAAACAAGTTAATCAAGTAGCAAACCCGACTATGGAAAGTAATCATCGAGCCCGCACCTGGGCTACTAACGGAGTAATACTCAATCATTAACTAACATATTAAAATAGCTGAGTTAAGTTACAGATGTTACTGTAAAAGTACTACTAAGTACAGTAAGTTAGTTTGTTCTTAACACCGACTAGCCCAATCTGGCCGCCTTCCCGAGGTCCTCGTTTTGGGGCGAAATCGTCATTTTCATTCTCCGCAGTTGCAGGTTTAGTGACGACAGAGCTTGGAAGAATGTATGGCAAATCAAGGGTTTTTGCAGGCCAAGTTTCTGATACGCAGTAAGCAGGTGGTGCAACTTTTACACATACTCCGTACACCGAAACTGCATTGAACAATGAAGAACAAGAAAGCAAACAACGAAGGAGGCAAAAATTCAAGAGGCGAGGCGGGCGGTTAAATTAGCAGCTGAGTTTTTTTTGCCGTCCTGCAGATTCAATTTGCCCAATGCGCGGAACGCTCTGTGACCTGAAGCCCAATCATTCTGGCTTGGGACATGCAGAATCATGGCATCGAATCGCGGGCGTGTCGGGATACTACAGTAGGTTCCTGTTTCCACCGCCACCAATACTTCTTATCCGCCCTTCATTATCAGTGCATATGACACTTTTGTGTCTTACTTTGTAGACTTGATCGCTTTTTCTGCTTTTTTTGTCCGTTTGACGAGGACTCCTCGTGCAAGACTACATATAAGGATACACTGAGTAAGACTGGGATCTCGCCACTTGCCTCGGAAACAGTACACGTGACATGGTGGGGGTCTTCAAGGGAGATGATATTGTTTTTTTTTTTTTTTTGCTTTTTATTTTTTATTCTTTGCCATGTTCTCTGAAGGTCGAAGCCATCAAGGTGAGAAAGTCGTCATAAAAGCGCAGAGTAGTATCTACCTGTATCCATCATTGTTTTGTGTGCGATCAAGGAAGAAAAGACATCGACATGCCAGACTTGCCAGGGACAATTGCGGGGAAGCGCCAGATAAAGTCAGACCGTCTCGCCCGCGTTATCGATCATCGGTTGCCGGTTCCAGAGAATATTACTACTGTACAATAACTACGGTACAGCAGTTGACAGCCTCGACCGCAGGCATTCAATCACTTTTTGACCATCCAAACCATTCAATTTTTCATCAATGACTACGGTAAGCAGTAGGTAGAGGTTCAAGCTGATCGGTCTGGTTCTAGCCCTGTGGCAAAACTACCAATCACAGGTCGCACAGTAAGATTACTGTAGTGTTTGGATCACCTATGGTTGAATGGCTCCTTGATCAATACATATATTTCCCGTTGCGATCCTCCAGCGAAAGCAGTACCGTGTGTCACCTTGGTTACCTTGATTAGGTGGAGAATGGCCAGAGAAGCTCCTACGAACTCACAGTAGATACTAGATAGATTGTACATTCTCCAAAAATCATTCATTATCATAAGGCGGGTTCTGCTGGCAGGAAAAAATGGTCTTCGCATTCCCCGTGACCCGGACGGTACTTTGGGTGTTGTCGGTCTGATGTCGTCAACCCGTCAACCCGTCAACTCGCCTTTGGTCGGTCTGCTTTCCCCGAAACATTGCTTGCTGCTTGCTCACCTGCAATGTTACTCTGCCTTACCGTGCTCCGATTCCTCCCTTTTCCCTGCGAACTCCTTCCATTGATCACACGCACCATACTGCATTCTTCAGATCATTCATCTTGCCGCTTGCCAGAATGGTCAGATCTAGGGACTCCAATCCGCTTTACCCCTCCGTTCAAGTACAACCTCCTCGCATCCTTCATGATGCGGCGGCGAGTAGCGGGCCCACAACCAATGTCCAGACCCAGACCGTCATTGGAGCCCCTCCAAGATTAGTGCTTAAAGAAAGTATATCGCAGCAGCAGCAACAAAGCTTGGAGATGGTTCAGATCATGCTGCATGTATCGGTAGGGCCTCAATGATCATACCCTTGTGGGCTTGTCACCGACATCCGCCTGACGCACCTGACTAGTTTGGTACCTTATTCTACCTTCGGTTCGTCGCGTTTCCGCCTCGATTCGCTATAGAGCTAGAATCTCATAGATGTGTTATGCTGCAGGGAGTTCCTACCGCTTCCCTGTTTCGATGACAGGGACCTCAAGGAAACCCAGCGCGAAAGGAAATTCTCCTACCGCGAATTCCTCGACCGGAATACACCATGTCCTACGCTAGAGTCTGATGCGCAGGTTCCCTTTGGCAAAGGCAAAAGGGGCCAGCCGCTCAAGATCATCCTTCGAGGCTCCGATCCCAAGGCGGATATGATCCTTGACATCTTGGTATGACTCCGTAGTCAATCGCGCATTACAGCATGTTGACATGCGCAGGAAAACGGCATCTTCGACGCTTTAAGCAAGAAAGTGCTGGAAGCCGTCCAATTGACCGTCCTTGTCGACAAGGATGCCCCCGAGAATGTGCTCGAGTCCTACACGTTCTCCTTCAAATACTCTGGAGAGTCTGGAGATATCAACCACCGTCTCGAAAGTCTGTCGATAGAACCAGTGGGACTAGTTGCTGACATCAAGACTGCCCAATCAGCCAGAGTAGGCTTGGAGACGATTGTGAGGCGGCTGATCACGTTGAGTGCCTTCTTACCAGCTCTTCCAAGTCAGTATCCTCAGCTCATTCGAAGGGGGAAGTCGCTAACAGAAGTGAATCCAGACAAACGCAATCTAGGGGTTCATTTGTTCTATACTGATAATTGCCCTCCTGAATATGAGCCTCCGGGATTCAATGGGGCGATAGATGACACGATCAAGTTTCCCCATTCAGAAAACTGGAGAAGAGAGTCGCAATCATGCGGTATAATGGATAGTGGATGGCATACGTAAGGAGATTCTTAACCCTTGTGATGGCTAAGTAGCTGATTATGTTCAGTGTGGGACTTAGGGTATCTTCTATGAAGTGGACTGGGCCTGAACCAGAAGGCTCAGAAGCTCTGCCCCAAATACCACCTGATCTTGAACATACGGATGTAGTTCAGAGAATGGATGATGTGGGATTTCGAGAGAAGGAGAGCGAGGCCGTCATCAACGTGGTCGAAAAGAGCAACAACACCAATAAAGATGGTTCATCAACCCGGGACCATGTTGTATCATCTACGCCATCGCAGAAAGCTGATGATTCTGTGGAAACTACCCAGGATGCTGCCGAAAGGCTGCAGTTGGAAGGAATGTTGCGAGTGAGTGAATTCTGCTTGAGACATGACAAATTTCCTTAGAAAAGCTACTAACAAGCCCAGACTCAAGAGTCAGGCTCTCAATTCGATAGTGGCCTGTCTCCTACACAGCCTATCGCCCCTGAAGCGCGTCCCCAATCTGGGGAACCAAGCAGTATACAACCAGTACAAGTTCCGAAGCCAAATCTTTCAGATGAAAGTGTTCGTCACATTACGGAATATTTGAAAGCTCATGGCTTGGATGCTCCTCGAGCTGAAGAAGGCCAAGGCACCGTGAGGTGTCAATGCGGCTGGGAAGGCGAAGAAAAAGCGAAATACATGGTAGGTGGTGAGCCAGATGGTGTTAAAAAACACAAAAGAAACTAACGTTGGTAGATCGAATGCTCATTCTGCCACTTGTATCAGCATTTGTCCTGCTACGGATATAAAGATAGCGATGATGCCAGATTACCTAATGTCCACGCCTGTTATCGTTGCCTCCTGCAACACAAAGAAGGCCAAGTACTCCAGGAAATGACCAGCCTGGTTCTTCTAAGAAGAGCCATCCAGATCATCCAGACGGAGGGCTACCCGAATCATACGTCGGTCTTCACCGAGAAGCTTCGTGAGTGGATCAATTATACTTTTGATACCATAATCTGACTGCGCGTAGACTGCAATGGACAGACCGTCATTCAAATGACGGAGCTGCTCAGAAAGCGCGAGCTCCTGGAAGCAACACCGGGATACAAAAGCAAAGGGTTTTCGCGCAGAGGCTTGCCAAAGTTCTTCATCCCAGCTTCGGAGGATGTCCAGCGGACAATCGAGGAAGAAATTCTGGATCCGATGCTGAAGATCCGACACCACGTAAGTCCGCTCTTACTTGTTGTGACTTCCAACCGTGCTTAGTGTACGACAGTATATCTGGCCCGATGGTTCGGGACCGCCTACTGAAGCGACAAGGTCCTTGATCGATAAAGATGGGGAAGCAAACACCGAGGACACGGACTCGCAAAAGGAAAGCTTAGATTCCGCGCTCAAGCCAAGGGAACAGCGCGATACAGAGCCGCCGGAAGAAATCGTAACGGTTACCGGGAGCCAGACTCGAAGTCGCAAGAGGAAACAGTCCTTGCCTGTTCCCAAAGAGGACAGTGCACAGCCCGAACAGTCGACACCAGACCGTCCGAGTGGCAGAGTCACAAGGTTTAGCAGTCGAAGGGATAGCTTCCAACAGACCCACAGAACTCCGCGCCCAAAGACACCGACGACGAGAGAGACGAGCGAAGGTAGTCTTCGAAGGAGTGGCAGAAAGCGACGTAAGATCAGCAACTACTCCAAGCTCATTGATGTTGGGGCCGACGAGTTCGATGTCTGAACAATGCGGCTCGTGAGGTCTCACTAATGGGATGTGATGTGCAAATGCTCATAACCCCCCTCGAAGACCATGATTAGTCGGATCAAAACCTTCAACCTCGAGGTAATACACACCGGTCATGTTATTTATAAAGTGAAACGAGGACCCTGAGTCATGACAAGCTTTCGACCCAGGGTCTGGCTTAGGGTCTCCGGCTAGCTTTCATGTACGGTTAGGATGTTTCGAAACAAGGTTATTGCACCCTTCCCTGTCTCAACCCCCCACCCCACGCAGTGGCCAGAAAGAGCTCAAACCCACGAACAGGAGGGGAATTGGGGTTCGTTTGCAGAAATAACACAAAAGTTTGATATCGCGTGAAACGCGCATGGTTTGAGACGCAAAGATGGGGTGTTGCTTGAGTGGGTACGGCTTTATTCGCACGGTGATCTATGTACACCTTGCAGGCAAAGCTTGTTATGTTTCAAAAAAATCTACTATGAGCATAGTAGTAGCAGTATGATATTCTGTCAAGTTTCTATGACAAAAGCGAGTCGGTTTCTTATCTGGGTCAATCGTTGCAGGAGGTGGATGAATGACCTTCTTTTCGTGCCATCAGACTCGCAGTAAGCTGTTTCCGAAAGCTGCCGGGCCTCGTATAGTAAGCCACAAAGAAAAGACTAACTCAGCTAGTATGTGATCGAGATTGACATGGAAAGCAAGGATCACTTCTCATTCTACCTAGTACCGTCCTGCTGGTTTACCACTCCAACCCCGGCAACCGAAAAGAGCAAGGCATTGAACACTTAAAAGCGTAAAGGAACAATGGCCGATTCGATAGCCAGCACCAAGCACGTAGTTATCAAGACTCCTGAAGGTACTTAAGGTATAGTACACCTAGCAGTCATCAATACCAACCTGAACAACCACACATCGACCTCCAGTGCTCCAGTGGTCATATCCCTGGCTTTCCTTTCCATTCCAACCCGTATCTTATACGTCTCAATGAGCGTCTATAATGCCCGTTGTCACCGACACAAGACCAAGCTCATTCTTGATCCATTCACCCCACTCTACCTCTAAAGCGTAGCAGACGCATGCGAGGTCGTCGTCGAGTACGTACCCATACCAAATATCCCCTTTGATCCTCCCCCCCTCCACACACAAGTGAGCATTCATCACAAAGCCGCCAATGTCCCTATTCCTCTTCACCCCTCCTTCCCCCAATCCCAAACCTATAAACCTCCGTACCACCATCGCCAACACCCCGAAACCGTACCATCGCATGAGCCCGGAAGATGCGAAAGCCCCACCTAGCAAAAGCGACGCCGATCAAATACCCAGCCAAGTACTGGCGAGGATCACCAGAGCGCCAAAAAACGGGGATTTTGGCGTGGGGAGAGGGGGGAGGGGGGACGAAGGTACAACAAATTTGGGATTTCGGTCTTGATCGTGGATCGGAAGGCTCATCATGCCCGCAGCAGCAGGTTCGTGGGCGAAGCGGCACGGACTGACAATTTTTTTGACCTTTAGTTGTACTATGTAGTAGTCTATCTTACATCCGGTGCGTTTGGGGTCTGGGAAGTCTCCATGACGATTGAGCCGTCATATTCGGAGCATTTGCAGAAGAGGGTTTAGATTCGTGCGGGCAGCGGGGACTACGGGATGGGAAGAGGTGGGAAGTGGGTAGGGAATTCGGGAGAGAGATTTGTTTTTGGGATAGGGGATGGCGGGAGAGGATGAGGTTGATCATCTTTTGGAGAAATAGCCACCAGGGGATTCTCTTTTTCAATTTCTTGTGCTCATGGTAGGTATGAAGTAGGCTAGCTGGGTTCATGGAGCGGAGTCCCCCCACGATTCGTAGATAATCGGTAGTTTTGGTACCGGTAGGAGTACTGCCTGTTCGAATCTATCGTTTGATTCATCTGGATCATTATTTTGTCCATTTTCCAAATCCTCCCTTTGCGAGGAAGGGGGTGGACCGACAACTTGAAAAAAAACATCCTGAGAATCATGTCAATTCGGCATAGGGCTCGTCGATCAGGGGTCTAAACCCAAAGGTTCCAGCGGT